AATGTATGGATGTTTGGATGTTATGACTGCTTGTCTATCTTTTTGTTGAGAATCCCTGTCCTTGCGTTATGTCTGTGTCGGATCTTTGCCTGCACCTGATGTCGCTGTAGATGGGATAAGAATCTGACCCCGATAGTGATTTTGTTCTCGTCTTTGCTTATCCCGCGATGGGGGTTGCGATATGATTGCATCTTGCATAATCGACGATCCGAAGTCTGGTCCTGCGAACGCCGCGCGAGAACGCGTGTAAACGCGATCCGAGTCGCGCCCTTAAACGCATTCCCGCGCGTCGATTCGCTCACCCAAAAAGGATTCGCGACGAAACCATCATCCCGTACGAGCACGCTGAGGCGCCACTGAGTCTGCCTGCCCTACACGTGCTCGTGCGCGGTGACGATATCCCGACCCGCGCTATCCCATCGTCGATGATACCATGACGCGATCTTGGGGCTCAGACTCATCCTATGACCCGGACTATTTCACCCCTATAATAAACGAGCTCATAAGGACAYGATACCCCTKTCACGCGGAGAATCGKCTATGTCYGCGGGAATTCCACTGTGCCACCTCTAGCGACCCTCGGTGCTCCGATTTCCCTTCTCCCGACCACACCTACTACTTCACCCACCCGGGATTCGTTGAGATCACCACCAGTTTCCCTCCTTTCTGTCTCCTTCTCCCGTTTCATCAACTCAGTGTCGTTCCGTGGCCGGCCATAGCCCCATATTGGCCCAATACGTTTTGCGTGAACTGCCGACGTAGCGGCGCACAGAGAACTTTGAAATTCCAAAGGCCCAACCCGGGTACGCGGCGGCGTGCGCCACGTGGCGGCCCCCGACGGCCTAACTTTTTGGGACCATCTCCACCACGGAGGAATTTTCCACCCCTTTTCGCACTTCCAGGCCCACACTCCACTCCGATCAGGGAGTCGCGCCGGGCGTGAGGTTGGGCGTCACAGACTTGCTTAGACCGTGGTTAGGTAGAGTCGTTGTAGTTTATTTAGACGACATCTTAGTGTTCAGCAAGACCCTCGAGGAACATGAGGGTCATGTACGACAGATTCTAAGCAAGTTGAGAGAGTCTAACTTCAAGATTAACCCGAAGAAATGCGAATGGGCCAAGACAGAGGTCCTGTACCTAGACCATGTAATAGACGTTGACGGTATTCGACCCGAGGACAATAAGATAGCATCCATTAGAGATTGGCCGACTCCTAAGATGCGGACAAAGTTGCGTTCGTTTTTAGGATTGGCTAACTACTATAGGAAGTTTGTAAGGAACTTCTCCACGATCGCTGCTCCCCTTCGTAGGTTACTGAAGAAAGAGACTATCTGGAAGTGGGGCTAGGACAATACGTCATCCTTCAAGAAATTGGAGAAGGCCTTAAATAGAATATCCTGTCCTCAAAGCTGTTGATCCGTCATTACCATTTGTTGTTACTACAGACGCTAGTTAGTATGGCATAGGTGTCGTCTTGCAGCAAGATGACGGTAATGGTTATAGACCCGTAGAGTTCATGTCAGCCAGGCTGCCCTCAGAAAAGGTATCAGCATCGACATAGGAGAGGGAACTCTACGCTTTCAGACAGACCTTAATTCACTGGAAACACTACCTCTTGGGAGGCACTTCAAAGTATATTTTGATCATGAGACTCTTCGATGGCTAAAGACGCAAGCCAAGATGACGCCCAAGTTGACTAGATGGGCCGCTGAGATAAACCAATTTGAATCTGAGTTAAAGCCTGTAAAAGGAAAGTATAATGTGGTAGCCGATGCTCTTAGTAGGAGAGCTGATTACTTCGGCGTGATAGTGCACTATCTAGACATAGGGGCTGATCTGCAACAGAAGATCAGAGATGTATACGCTCAGGACCCGGTCTACAGTGAGTTGATGAAGAGAGTAAAGGAAGCCCCAGATAGTGAACCGCACTACCGAACCACTAACGGGCTACTGTTTGAGAAGACCAATGTCGCTGACAGACTATGCGTCCCCAACAATGAAGAGATCCGTAGCCTGATCTTAGGAGAATGCCATGGTACAGAAGGGCACTTTGGATGGCAAAAGACTTTAGCTAACTTGGTGATGTCATACACGTGGCCAGGAATGAAAGCAGACTGCATAGAGTATGTGCGCAACTGCAAGGTGTGTCAGCGTAATAAGACTACAACCAGAGCCCCTCTAGGTCTTCTTAGACCCTTGCCTATTCCATCAGGACCCGAAGAGTCAGTTTCCATCGATTTCATGGATACTGGGGTCAAAAGTAGGCACGACAAGACCCAAGTCATGGTCATAGTAGATAGATTTAGTAAGTATGCAGTCTTTGTTCCTTTGCCTTCAGAGGCACGTACAGACTTAGTCATTAGTAAGTTTTTCGACTTCTGGGTAAGCGAGCATGGCATGCCACTGTCCATAGTTAGTGATAGGGACACGCGGTTTACTAGTCAGAATTGGCAGGATCTTATGAAAGTCTATTAGCATGGCATGCCACTATCCATAGTTAG